GACGTGTGCTCTTCCGATCTCCCCAAAACCCCAAAACCCCTTCATTATAAATGTGTTAAAATTTTACAAAATAGATCATTATTATGTATTCAAGTAATCTTTGACTAAGTTATTATATACTTCATATCCCTCACATACCATTGGATATTTTTCAGTTATTGTAATTGCATACTTAAACAAATTAGGAAATACTTCAGGGTGATTAATTTCAAGTGAGTCATAGTCAATAATCAATTAGCAAAGCATAAGATCAACTAAAGTAAAGTCTGATAAATTACAAAGACTTCTTCTCTCTGATACCAATAGACCATTAAATTCTCCAAAAATCTTTAAGTAATTTGCCTCAGCATCTTAGATGACAGATTCTGGCCAATATATCCCCTATCTTGGCATGTATTTTTTCCCATAAACTGCTCTTATCATATTCACTCTTAAGTCATTAATAGTGCCAGCGAACATATCAACCAAAGCTCTCTGTTTTAAATCTGCTGGGTACAAGAAATTGTCTTACCCTTTAGAATGATTGTCAATTAGATATCTAGCAATAGCAAAAGTTTCAGGTAAAATGAATTCTCCATCTTAAAGCAAGGGGACTTTTCCTGATGGACTCAGTTTTAAATAGGCTTCAGATCTCTACTCACCCTTGTCTAAATCAATATTTTGGTATTCGATATCTATCTATAGCAAAGATACTATGTTTTAGATAAATCTACAAGAATCGCTTCTTGGGTTTACGTATAGTTTCATTTTAAAAAGTAATAGATTTAAGATATTATTTTTTTAAATAATATACTTTATCATAATTTAGAAATTACAGGCTAAATCATTTCATTAAAATCCCTCTCGTCATCTGCAAAGAGGGGGTAAAGACTCTTCATATTCTCAAAGAACTTAAGAATGTTAGGATATTTGGCTGAGTAGTTTACTCTTAAAATCGCTCCTGCAATGACCAGCTCAGCAAGCATCCAATCAATTACTGTGGCATTAGATCCATGAATAAAGCTTTATTTTTAAAGAATTTTCTCGAAGTACTTATAGGTCTCATGCTAAACTTTTTCAGCATCTTTTACGACCATATCTGGCATTAATTGCCCTTTCTGAGGTAAAAATATTTTAGCGTAGACCAATCTAAGCTAATTGAATCTCAAATCATTCATCAAATTTGCATATTAATCTATCACCGCTCTAGTCTTCAAATCTTTTGGGTATATGTTATTATCAGCAGGGGCATATTTATCAATCAGGTACTTGGCAATAGCAAAAGTCTCAGTAAGCGTGAAATCACCATCAATTATAAGTGGTACTTTACCATTTGGATTTACTTTCAAATAAGCATCTCCCTTTTATTCATCAGTTGGAAGATCAATGTGATGGTAATCTACATCAATTTATAGATGTTTGCAGAGATTTTATATGAATCTGCAAGGATCACTTCTTGGATGAGCGTATAACTAAATCTTCTTTGCTTCCATATATCTTTACTTTAGATTTATTAAATATAAGATTTACTCTTACTATTAAATTGAATAAATAGGATTTAGGGGTTTTGGGGTTTTGGGG